GAAATCCCCTCGCTTATTCATGACTTCCCTTCCAACTTCTAAATTAGGCAAGGGCCCAACAAACAACAACCTCGTTCAGAACACAGCCCTGATCTATCCCCAGAGCAGATCCATTGTGAGCACTGAATGAGGTAGGTGTCCAGTAGTTAAAAATAGCAGGTGATCATGCAATTAAAGACTGTATCATAATGCGTACAAAGGGGCACAGGCAGTTTTTCTGGCTTGTCCTAGCTTTTGAATGCTTGATTATGCAACCTTAATAAATGTTCTTTTGATGTACTTTGTGTGTAATTTCCTCATTTTTTGAAGAAGCAAATTGAAAAAAGAATTCCATCATGTCGCATTATACTGACACCCACATGGTTCATCAGCCACATTGGAACCTTTGGACCCACTTCACAGACCTCTGCCACTTGAACTAGCAGAGTAACTGGTAGCAGTAGTAGTTTGTCATCTGCTCTGTAGACCAGCACTAGAGGGGGATGAGACATCCACTTTGCCAGTGGGTTTTACAGATATGCTGACAGCAAAGGAATGGCGAGACTCAGGAATCTTGGGTTCCATTCTAGATGATGGAAGGGAGTGTTCTCTAGTGGTCACAGCGCCTTCTGCCTGCCCTCCCCCACACAGCCAAGCATGACTCCTGTTTCCCCAGTCCCTCCAATCTGTACCTATTCCAGTCCTTGTCTCTGGCTCCTTCTCTTTGCCTACCCAGTCCCAGTCTCCACTCCTCAGGCTTCTCGTCCCAGTCTCTCCTTGGCTCCAAATCATTCCCAGCCTCCCCACCCCACTGGCTCACAGTCCAAGTATCCTGGCCTAGCTAATCCTATTTTCTCTTCCCTCTCCCCTCCTCCATTCTCCAGTCCCAGTCTCATCAGACTCCTTATCCAATCTATTCTTTCCTCCACCTGCCCTGCTCACAGGCCCACCTCTTGTCCTCTCGGCATTTGTGTCCGGAAGCTTACACCTCCATTCTGCATGGGTGCCAGCAGTTTGAGCGGGGTGGGGAGGTGAGGTGTCTTTGAGGGTATGTCTACACTGGGATAAAAGATGCTTGGCCTCGGGCTGCAAGAGTGGAGTGTCCTGGATTCGGGCTCCAGCGTGACCCTGAATGTCTACACAGCAATTTTGTTTTTTAGCCCCACAGCCTGAGTCCCACAAGCCCAAGTCAGCTGACCTAGACAGCCACAGTCATGCCGTGGGTCTTTTATCCCTGTGTACATGTACCCTATGAGCATAGGAAAGAGACACTCCCTGCTCTCTGTTCTAGTGCCCAGTCCAGCCACAGCCCAAAACAGCTGGGAGCAGCCACTACAGGGAAAGTTCTGCTTCATCCTTGTTGCTTTGGGCTGGTGGAAGCATGGTCAATTGCTCTATGGGGACGGTCAATCTGATCAACAGTAGGAGCTAAGCATGTGTTAATGGAGACTCTGAAAAGGCTTATCTCTTGGCCAAATTTGGGCAGATTTTCATAGGGTCAGCAAAAGGCACATCTCTGACACAAAGGCCACTCCTCCGCCAAATTTCAGTTAATTGCTCCAAAGCATGCGGGCACTAGAGCTGTTCAAAATAAAATTTTTAAAAAGTCACCAGGATTTTTTAAATTGGGCAAAACATTATCATTCCTTAGCCTCATTCTCAGAAATTGCTGGACTGTTTTGATGCAAATTTTCCAGAATATTGATGCCTGAGGCAGGCATCTGGCATGTAAAATTTCAACCCAAATGGTTTAAATTTTGGCACAGTTATAAGCAACACTAAACAGAGACTCATAATGGGGAGCATTAGGCAACCTCACTAACAGTCGGTGCTACTGGCCCTGGATATATTTTAAGAGCATATTAAAATAGGGTACTCAGGCCTATACAACTTCCTACAGTATCTCTCTGTCATGCCCCTTGCTCCCCTTAATGAATGCTTCTCCAAGGAATAGTCTGGGCTTGAAGTGTACTCTAAAGGTCACCAAATCCAGATTCTGGTGAACCAAGAGAGTATGCAGTTCTACAGACAATATATATATTTGACTAAAACATGAAGTAATTTACCTTTCATTTGTTTTCAAATCTATTAATATTTAAAGAGAAGTTCTCTCCCTTGCATCCTATTTTTCTTCTCCTCATCCTGCAATGATGTCATAATGATGAATTTGTAACATCACAATCATTTTCATGGTAACTGGCTGATGTCACAAATCCAAGACTATGACAACTTCACTGCAGGACCAAGAAGAAAACACAACATGGAGTTATGAAGCGAAAAAACTAACTCTTATTAAGACATAACTATCAGAGAAGGTTACTGGCATAGTAACATGCTTCTTCTATACAGTGAAATCTGTGTTAGTGACCACACTTAACAAGGAAACGTCCAACTAAGGGACTACCTTAAAGTATCCCCCAAACTTTCAAATGCAAACTTACCTTTACCAGGTGAGCAACTCACTAACATTACCAGGGACTGCCTATGTTTAGTCCTAGTCACAGCCAAATCCTCTTCTACAGCTGCTACTGCATTGTCCCTAAAGCTCTGTGTGGGGCTAATAAAGACACCTCACATGCTCATGAGATTAGAGTTTGTCAAAAAGGGATATTTCCCCCCATCTCCTTTTTAATTTTGAAAAATTTCAACCAGCTAGATATTCCCCATTTGTTTTGAATTTGAAAATTTGATCTGTGGCAAACAGTATCCCTGAACGACAAGTCGCACAAGCTGAACCATCCCATACTAGCCTATTTATATTCAGCATTTAAGAGTCCCAGGAGCTTTGTCATGGAATTGTTCAAGTAAACTGTAAGGCAACCTTTATGAAAAAATGTAGTCAGTCCTCTGGGTGATTACTTACCCCACGGTTCAATGTCATCACTCATTCTTTCTTTTTTCTATGGACTGCTAGATTTGTCAAATTTTCAAACTGTACTCATTTTATCTAATGCACTTTACTGATGTAGGGCTTGATCCTGTCCCACTGAAGTCAATGGGAGTTACGACATGAACTTCTAGGGATACAGGCCCTTAAATTTAATAGTAACAATAACAACACAAATATTTATATAATTATTTTGTATTCAAAGCACTTTATAAATATTAATCAGTCTTCACATCTCTCTGGTAAGGTAGGCAAATATTTATTGTTTTCCTCCTTTATAGAGGAGGAAACTGAGGCAGAGATATTCAAGTGACTTGCCCAAAGCTAGAAGAAGAGTCAATATCAGATCCATAATTAGAACTGAGGTGCTCCTAGCTCACAATCCACTGGACAAGATTTTAACTTTTAAATATCTGCCTTCAAACAAACACTGTACAGGACATTGTATTTCTGTGCACTGAGAACAATTAAGCAAAGATTTCTCCCTCTAGAAGGGTAGTAGAATGTTCCTCTTTTTGAGCTTTCTACAAACAATTGGACTTCAATGAGAGTTACGGTATTTGGCCCCAAAGACTGCAGAACTGAGTCCAGATGTGAATGAGCCCTAAAATCTCTGAATCTTAACCACTGATTTATTAAA